GCCGTCATTGTTGTTTGGCGGGTCCGGGCTGGGGATTCGAACCCGCCACCTTAGGTGTACGTGGCTGGCGCCTTAGCCGGTTGAGCCACAGGCGCCGAGCCGTTACTCTATTTCTTGATCAATTCCGGGAGTTTTGTGATTAAGTCTCTTCTAGGGTTTTCTATGTATAAGATCATTATCATTGGCAGAGAGTGAGAGTTAGACCTCCTCTATCCCCATTTGGATCCCCTTAACATCCTTCTCTTTACTGACTGAATTGGCTAATACTTCCAAAACTATGTTCAATAGAAGTGGCAATAGTGGACATTTTGTTTAATTCCAGTAGTAAGTGGAAATGTTTTCAGTTTTACTCCATTCAGTAAGATATTAGGTTTGTCAAAGATGGCTTCTACCAATTTAAGAAATGTGCCCTCAGGGCCTAGCTCACAGGTAGCTTATACCTGTGATTCTAGCACTCTGGGAGGCCGAGGAGGGTGGAGCACTTCAGACACAGCAGTTTGACACCAGCCTGAGCAACAGTGAGACCCCATCTCTAAAAAAAAATAGCCAGGTATTGTGGCAGGTGCCTGCAGTCCTAGCTACTCAGGAGGCTGAGGAAAGAGGACTGCTTGACCCAAAGAGCTGAAGTTGCTATGAGCTATGATGCCACAGCACTCAACCCAGGGCAACAAAGTGAGATTCTGTCTCAAAAAAAAAAAAAAAAAAAAAAAGTGCTCTCTACACCTATTTTCTTAAGCATTTTTGTTATAAAAAGATGCTGAATTTTATCAAATGCTCTTTCTGCATCTATTGAGAGGATCATATTGTCTTTGGTTTTGTTTCTATTTATGTGGTGAATTACATTTATGAATTTGCATATGTTAATCAAAACTTGCATCCCTAGGATAAAGCCTACTTGATTGTGACGTATGTTTTATAATGTGTAAGCTGTATTCTATTTGCTAGGATTTAACTGAGTATTTTTTCATTGATATTAATTAGTGAAATCAGTCTGTAGTTCTCCTTTTTTCGTTGGGGCTTTTCCTAATTTTGGTATCAGGGTGATGTTTGCTTCATAGAATATGTTGGGGAGGATCCTCCTTGTCAATGTTTTGGAATAGGTTCTGCAGTATAGGTACAAGCTCTTCTTTGAAGGTTTGATAGAATTCATAATTGCCAGGTCATGGAAGAAGCCCAAGTGCCCATCAATCCACGAATGGATCAATAAACTGTGGTATATGTACACCATGGAATACTATGCAGCCCTAAAGAAAAAC